CGGTAGTTAGATACTATCTGTCGCTGACCGTCCTTAAATATAGGACTAACTATAGCGTCCTTCCAATCTCTAGGGAGTTGAGCGAGTGAGAGGGACATCTTGAAGAGTGTAGCAAGCGGTTTTGAAATAATGTCCGCAAGAGATTACAGCAGTCGTGGATGTAACCCGTCAGGGCCCGGTATCTTACCAGGTTTGAGGTTAGTTATTAACGGAAGGACAGTTTCCTCAGTCACCTGTACAGATTCCATGGTTGGAATCTCGGTGTGAGTGGGACAAGTATTTGTTAGAATAAACGTAGAGAAAACTTCGGTAAAATGGTTTGAAAAAGTTTCAGCTTTTGCTCGATCTGATTCAGCTAGTAATTCTGAATTTTCGTGTAACAGCAATGGGGGAATACCATCACTACGTTCCATTTGCCGTTTAACATACGAAAACAATCGTTTCGGACAAGTACGGCTATCATATACTAACTGTCGTTCGTAAGTGGTAAGGGATTTCGCTACGGTTTTCTTACAGATATTACGGTATTTTTGGTACTCACGCTTAAACGATGCGTGACCTGTCAACAAGAATAAGTCCCAGAGGTGTTTCTTACGCTTTAACAGCTTCCGGGTTTCCTTATTCATCCATGAAGGGCAATGTGATAGCTAACGTACTGACCATGGGATAAACGGCGTCGTTGTGGACTCAAATGTAGCCTTAAATTTAATCCATTAGTCTTCGATCGATCCATCCGCGTCGACCGACCAATCAGTCGAGATAGCACAGTTTCTGATTGCCGGAATATTAGCTCGCCAGATATTGGGACGGGGTGGAGCAGATACGAATTGTATACCATGTGTCCTAAACTTAAAGTGAAGTACAACGTGATCACTGTTCACTAGTGGGGGAAGGTGCTGAATATCAAAGACATCCTCACGGTGGCGGGCAGTGACGGACCATGTTTCAAGTCAATATATGTCGGTTTTGTGATACATTGTACAAGTTCACACTGAATAACGATTGATAAAAGGTCGCTATCGAAACCAGCACCTGGAGCTATAGGCTCTATCCAGTTGATAAGCGGTGCGTTGAAGTCCCCAATGATGAGACAACATTCTGTCATACTCCAAGAACAGATGTGTCTTAGGGTAAAGTCGTCAGCAATACAAGACGGACTACGGTATATTCCCCCTATAGTCACTAACCCATTTCTAGATTTAATCTAACAACATGCAACCTCACATGCGCCACTGATATGAGCTTCCGATATGGTTGATTGTATACGAAAGTGATCCCTAACGTATAATGTTATACCTCCCTCTTTGCGACTTGAAACTCTATCACTTCTGATACAGATATAACCAGCAATGAACAGAGAACAGTCTATATCAACGGTGAACCAAGTTTCTGTAACAACGATTATATCGAGACATAATTCTTGCACCATCAGACTTAGCTCGGACGTTTTATTTCTAAGACTACGAGCGTTCGTGTAGCACACACTTAAGGTGTTTTGAAGATCAATCGTTCTACCCATACAGGCCTCGGAGCATTGGCTTCCAAGACCTGACTACCCGAAAACCCTTAATGGTAAGGTTATTTTCGCCATTTAATTTGCGAGTCCTCAACTCCGTAAGAGCATTCTTCCACTTGATTCGATCCTCAAGCGGCCAATCTGGTCGAATAAGGATATTTGAGTCACGAGGTTTTAGTGCGCTTTTCAATAATATGTCTCTTTCTTCGAAACTCCCGAGAACCAGCTTCAGGATCCTTCTTGGTTGGGTCTCGCCTCCAACCCATTTACCAAGTCGTATTACTTTTGTAATATGTACCCCTGAAACCTCTTCAGGTAGTACATTCCTTACCACAGACTCCACTAACTGCAGGTCATGTGCATGTCTTTTAGCAGGGTCGTTGTCTTTCGACTCCTCTAGATTCCAAATAATTAAACTAGGGAGGGGTTTAGCTTCTTTTGAAACTGTGTTCACAGCTTTCGACTGTGACGTTAGATCCTGTATTTTAACTACTGGTATCTTACGATTAGTTTTTATTTTAACAGAGTCCTGGGAGTCAAGCGAATGACTCACAACAATGTCAGACGAAGCTTTACTATGGGACTTTGGCGGATTGGTCTGAGAGTCCATCAAGGACTTACCAAGTAAACAGTCATTAGTTTTAGCTATCTTTCCCACTCGTCTGCGTTTTTGCGTCATCCATTTTCCATCAGTCGAAACGTCTACATTAGAACAACTCGGGACAGTAATTGTTATATATGGGTCACCGGTTGCTGCCGTAGCAATATGGCCACCGACGCCTAATGACGTGTCACTCTCTGATCGTTTCGGGGGAGAACGTTTAACTGCGGGTTGCACAGGTAGATGTCTGGCTTGCGCCGCGATAGCACTTACGACACTAACGCAATCTTTGACATCCGTACCAATGTTATCAGTACAGCCCTCATCAACCTTCTTATTAGCCAACACCAGGAGACTAATTGCTTCTTGGATAAGCAATGTTTTGCTCGAGCAACAAAAACTACAAAGCCAATGAGAGTTAGGCTTTGAACACTCTTTATATGCAGTGGGGCTTAATCGGGTGCACATCTTATGGAACCACTTATTACAGTCATCACATTGCATCCCTTCATCCACGGGAAATAAGCAGTATGGTTGTCCACATTTATGAGTAGACCTAGCCATCTTGAAAATCAACTAGAACGGTGACAAAAACTGGATATGTAGAAGGATTTTCAAACCTTAACTAAATAAACCAAGTAAAAGTCGACCAAGTATGCTTCGATGCAATAAATACACAGAAGCAAAATCGAAAAACTCAATACAATATCACTTCAACTGGGGTAGATGCAATTAAAGTGTAGACAGTAGTTTTGATGCGTAATTTACGATCAAAACAGTTAATTAACTCAACGAGAGAGAATACCACTGTCCTTTTAAATAGAGAATCGTTTAAAGTCTTATGTACTGCTTCTTGAAGACCATAAGGAATTATTTGTCTTCTAAGAAAGACTGGATCACCCTATACTTGAGGTTTTATAGGCTGAATTTTCATACCTCCACTGCACTTAGCACACATAGCTACCAAATCGTTAAGTATTGCATCAGAATTTTCTTTAGAAACTAGGAAAGACAACTCCACTTTAAACCTTTTCAAATTCTCTAAACCCAGTATTGACAGCCCTGTTTCGCTAACTAAAAATTCACATGGTATGTATGGAGAATCATCATCTCTTATTAGCAATTCACAACATCCTCGTATGGGCAGTCTGTGTCCAATAATCCCCAATATTGATACTTCAGTGGATCGTACCACAACGTTAGGATCTAAGGATTTCAAGTTCTTGAATGAAATAATGGACTCTATACTGCATGTGTCCACAATAAAGTCATGAAATGAACCAAGCGATGTATGCAATCGCCTTTGAATACGAGCATTACCCTTCGAAATGGTAGACAAAGATAAATGATCACTAGGAAGAGCTGAATTAGTGGGACCTGAATTCCATGGTTTAGTACTACTTGAGGCAAAATGAACAGTAGCTCTGCATACTGACTGAATGTGTCCTATCTTACCATATTTAAAACATTTAGCATTGCGAAATGCACATGAATTACGAGAATGAAACTTTCCACATGATAAACATTTACCAAACTTGATCTCACCTTTGTGGATTACTATATAATTCCTTGTTGAAACACCTTTCATATTTACACGAGAATAGGAATCACTGTTAAACGAACGCAAGTTTGATTGACCCTGAGATTGTATTTCATCATGATGACTAAGCAAAGTATTAGAAATCAAGTTCATTGACTGCTTCGTAGTTAATACATGCAGTTCTAGCATCTTGAAAGGAACAGTTTGGCATTTTTAACAGCTCTCTTTCCAAACTCGGTATGTTAATTCCTGCAATTAATCGATCTCTCAGTTGCACACGAAGTTCATCACCGAAATTACATTTGGCAGCTTGTTACTGCAATTCAAGGATGAATTCCCTAACCTCTTGGTCATTTCGACGCATAATCTTATGAAATTTCGCCCATTCACGGCATTCAAAACTGATGCACTTTACATGATTTGATAATAGCTCCTTGAAAGTCGCGTAAGGATGTGAGATTGGTTTTTCTGGATATGCCAAATTTGTTTAATAAGCGGTACGCTTCTTTTCGGAGGAATGTCAGGAGATTTGCCACAATTTTATCACCTTTAACATCTTTCTTGGTCATGCTCCAGATTTCAAACCTTTCCAAATAATCCTCAAAATCTTCGGAAGTTGAATGAATATCTAACTGTTCCATCGCGACGCCAATATGATAATTAGAAGTATTTGAATTATAGTACAAACCGAATAACAGAAATAACGCAATTGGATCAAGAAGTACTAGATACTGTATTTGGAATTCGAAATCAAGAATTCGACAAGTACAAAAGAATCATTAGTGCATTCAAACACCACGATTTCATTACTTACTAACTGTTGTAAGACTGAACCAACTGCTGCCTGAAACGCATCTGCACACAAAGTAAGTGTCGTGTCCTGTTTAGGACTTGAGTAATTATTTTGCCGCAGAAAAAGCATCTTTCTCTTCGAAAGATAATATTAACCTTTTGACATCGTCCTTCTGACCTCCCACATTGTCTGGACATTCCATGAGCCTATATTAATAGTTTCTCTGTTTGTTAAAAGGAGCACCGGCCTCGTGACTTCCGAACGAAGCGTCATAATTCTTCCCTCAACTCCCAGGGCAGAGCTTAAATGGTTTAATTTGTTTATACTGATTGGCGTTTTTTAAGAAGGTTATTTTCTATGGGATGGAACTGCTGACTCCTCCCCTTTTATCCATGCTTGAGACCGTCACTAACCTAAAAGAGCTACAGGCCTAGTCCACAAAGGAAAATCCTCTGATCAAAGAACGGCATAAATACCAAAGAACTAACATTTAAGTGTTTCTGCCCATCAGTATACGTAGTTTAGGGTTTAAGTAAATATTAATTGTACATTGAAGTTCTTCGCAACTACTTTAGTTTATCGCGTTATCCGTTTAGTGTAAGCAGTGGTTGAATACCATGTTCTCATATAAAATTTCATTTATATGGGCTTATTTGTGGCTATAGATGTAAAGCTAATGTTGCATTTTGTGGAATAATGCTTAGTGGGGCACTTCAGTGCATAGCTCTCAGTCTTCAGTAGTGCTTTTGATTCCGCACACAAACTACCTTTTTACTCCCATATTACCATTAATCCTGTTATATGCTGACGAAATTATGATGTAGAAAGTTAGACGAAGTAGAAAAACTAGTTTAGAATGCCAGAGATGTCTACAGAAACTACAATCGGTGTATATTTTTGTAAGGCAGTTAGACCTTGAATTTTGTATTTGCTAACTAGTGAATGTAAGTTCATCATGCTGCATATTGGCCACCAAAGCACTCAAACGATTATTAGGGAGTCTTTTTGATAAAAAAATTTATGTCCATTGCGTACTTTCGCAATAACTATTGAGTCATAGAACAGTTAGCACCAGAAACTTCAGCACCATAGATATCACATGCCTTGCTTTGTGTGCCATTTTTTAACGATTGAAGCTTGAGTATTACACAATTGATTTGTTACTGTGTAAGAAAAGATGGTGGTGTTTTGGAAATGATTTAGAGAACTGTGACTAAGTTAACTATAATCTCGAAGCTGGTGTATGACAAGATATAGACCTAAAAACATATTCCCTTTACGGTATAGAGGTATTATTAGTGATATCACTACTGTCTCCAAATTAGCCAGTGATTTTATATCTAGTTCCCCACATTTTTTGTATTCCTGGACAAAAATGTCACGAAACGAAAATTTAGAGGGCAACAATTCTTACCTCAGGAAAAGTGAAAAACTCCCTAATCAGTTGCACTTGACGTAAATCGTCACTTAACTTCGGTATGTAGACTTTTCTGAAGATGGTTCTTGAGTTATATACGGAATTTGAACTTTAAAATGAGCTTCCGAGCAATATCCCAGTCCTCACTCAAATCGGATGATAAACTGTGGCGCATATATATTTAGTAACTCCTTATACCAATGTTTATGTGTTTCGGCAGATAATAATAAATGACAATTCGTCAGCTGGGGGGAGAATAAATGCTGACCAATGTGACTGAATCGGAGCCATCACAGGAATTTTAGTCATGTTACGGTTGTCGTATGAGCTACATCTATAAAGTCTAAACCTTAGATAACTCTTATCAGCAATTGACTACTGTGCTCTGATGATACTTCAACCCTTATGATATCATATATCATCGTAGCCAGTATGGTATAGATTAAGGGGTGATTAGACTGGATCTGCACATATTCTCCCTGTCTCAATCGATCATCGTTCGCAACTTCGTCTACCGAAATACCACCAGTTAGTAGCAGATTGCACGGTTTCGGTATCATCACACAATATCCGAAACACGCATACAGGATTCCAGTGTGGTCATTCACTTGACCTCACCTCGGCAAAACGGAGAGCCAACGAGGTACACCCTTCGTGTATCTGGTGACCCGATGGCAAGTTCTCGTGGACTGGCAGGTGTAGGCATAGCACTAAGCATGAGGGCCGAACAAGCACTGCTAGAGTGGATCCCCGTCAACAGTCGTCTATGTGCTGTTCGGCTGAACGGCTACGTAAGAACTCGGAAGGATAGGGACTCACGTCGTTGCCTTTTTGTCGTTTCTGCCTACGCTCCCACTGACTGCAGCTCAGATTATGTGAAAGATGAATTTTACAGAAAGCTGTCCGAACTTCTTCAGAAAGCTAAACGCTCAGACATAGTACTCGTAGCAGGTGATTTTAATGCTCAGATAGGCAGTTTAAACCAAACAGAAAGGCATTTAGGTGGATATTTTAGTATTCCGACACAGCGAACAGATAATGGTGATCGTCTGCTGCAGCTATGCTCAGACAATCGTTTATTTTTAGCAAACACAAATTTTAAGCATAAGGAGAGACATCATCTAACATGGCGACCCCCTACACCAAACCAACGATGGACTCAAATAGACCATATTGCCATCAGTCATTGTTGGAGAGGGTCGGTAGAAGATTGTCGCTCATTCTGGAGTACCTGTTTGGACTCCGACCGTGCCCTAATACGGGCACGCATCTGCTTGCGCCTCACTGGACGCAAAAAAGCCACATTAAAAAGACCCGTTAGAACTGAGTTGAGTAACGAGAAAACCAAAAGTAGGTTCCAGGAACAACTGAGGTCACACTTAGGTAGTTGTGAAGACGAGGCTGACCCAGATGTTGCTTGGAAGGGCATACAATCAGCTGTGGAAACAGCAGTGACATCTATTAGTGACTTAAACCACAGAGTTGCAAGGAACCAGTGGATTTCTTCAAGGTCTGTCACATCGATGGATTCTCGCAAACTCGTCCCATCAGGTTCTGAACATGATGAAGAGCGAAAACAAATCAGATCTAGGTTAAGAAAAAGTCTAAGAAACGACCGTGAGCAGTGGTGGGCATCGAAAGCAAAAGAGATGGAAAAGGCGGCGACTATAGGGAACACAAGACAGCTTTACAGACTAATAAAAGAAACTGGAATTAATAAGTCAAGTGTAAGTGAGATTATTTCGGAAAAAGATGATACTCTCATCTGCTCCCAGTCCAGACGTTTAGAACGATGGGCGGAACACATTAAGGAACAGTTCAGCTGGCCTTCAGCTACTCTACAACTACCCTCCATTCCCAGATAGTGTGAATGGAACATTGAAGTAGGTCCCCCGACTCTTGCTGAAGTTCAAAAGGCTATAGTTAATCTGAAACGAGAAAGGGCAGCTGGTCCAGATGGATTGGCTCCAGAGGTCTTTAAGGATGGTGGTCCAATTTTAGCGATTAAGTTGACTAATATTTTAGCTAAGATCTGGGAATTAGACTTTATCCCATCTGACTGGTCGCAATCACTTATCGTCCCAATATATAAGAAAGGGTCAAAATCATCCTGTGACAACCACAGAGGGATTAGTTTAACAAACATAGTATCTAAAATACTGGCCTCGGTAATTATCAAACGCCTAACTAAGACTCGTGAACTACAAACTCGAGAGAACCAAGCTGGCTTTAGACCTGGTCGTGGCTGCATCGACCACATATTCACCATTCGTCAGGTTCTAGAACACAGACATACCTATCGGCGTCCGACAATGGTGGTCTTTCTTGACTTAAAAGCAGCATTTGACTCGGTAGACTGCGAGACTCTGTGGCAGTGTCTGTCATTGAAAGGCGTACCTCAGAAGTACATAAACCTTGTGAAGGCTCTTTACTCGAACACTACTAGTCGAGTCAGGGCTTATGGCGAACTGTCATCTACTTTTGCAACCTCAAGTGGTGTCCGTCAAGGCTGTCCACTTTCTCCATTTTGTTTAACTTCATCATAGACCTATTGATGGAAATAACACTCTCGTCGACTGAGTTCTCGGGTATTGATCTCCTTCCAGGAGGTCCACTTATCGACTTAGAATACGCATAGTCCTGTTTGGTGAAGACGCTGACAAAATGCAGAGTCTTCTGGTAGCACTAAGCAACAATGCCAGAATGTTTGGAATGCGCTTCTCTCCCTCTAAATGCAAGTTGTTGCTTCAGGACTGGTCTCCGTCAACACCTGAACTAAGGATAGGGAGTGAAGTAGTTGAACGCGTTGACAACTTCACTTATCTTGGAAGTGTGATCAGCCCTAATGGGTTGGTGTCTGACGAAATCTCAGCACGGATTCGAAAAGCTCGTTTGGCTTTTGCCAACTTACGTCACCTTTGGCGAAGGCGAGATATCCGTCTATCAATAAAAGGACGAGTATACTGCGCGGCAGTCCGTTCTGTTTTACTTTACGGCAGCGAAACATGGCCCTTAAGAGTAGAAGACACCCGTAAGCTACTAGTATTTGACCACAGATGCCTTAGAAATATTGCTGGGATCACCGGGTAAGTAATAGTGAGGTTAGACTCAGGGTATTAGGGAATGATGGTAAATCAGTTGATGAGGTTATGAATCTTCATCGACTGAGATGGTTGGGCCACGTATTACGTATGCCTGAACACCGATTACCACGACGTGCAATGCTAACCGGTGTAGGGGATGGTTGGAAGAAAGTTAGGGGCGGCCAAACCAAAACGTGGCATCAGTGCCTGAAGTCACTAACTTCTAGTCTGAGCCATGTTGGTAGATGCAGACTACTTGGTTGGGGACCGCGTGACTTTCGTAACCAATGGTTGGAGACTTGGTGACATGGCTCAGAATCGATCACAATGGCATCGGTGTATACACTCCCTGTCTTCCCTTAAACTAAGAGACTAAAATCACTTCATTCTTTCTGTCTACGAGCTAATTCTTTCTTCCTATACTATATCCTTATTGCAACCTTTGACCTAACCACTCCTATGAATCCGCTGTTCATCTTGCTGTGCTAATGAGGTATGGCAACCTGGACCGATGCACATATGTGCCTGGTCCTACGTTGTAGCTGACTGAAGTCTCACCAGCCCAGGTGAATTGGTTAGTGACTGAAAAAACTTCGGGATGGATTCGGAAAGCCCAACTGAATTTCGCCAATTCGTGTCACTTTTGATGTCAATCTGTCAAGAAAGAGGGAGTTTGTTTTACTCGATGTTTATGATACATAGTTTTTGGAAGTAGGAGACATTCGTAGACTACAAATGTTTTATTGTAGATATCTCAGAAATTCTGAGGTTGGACGAGAAATACTAGGGGGAGATGACAACACAGGATGATGAAGTAGTGAATATTTATGGAATGAGGTGATTGAAATGTGTATCATATATACCCAACCGTCATCTACTCCGGCGCACTTTGTTAGATGGTTTAGAAGTAGTTTGAAGTGCAGTTAGAGATGGCCAAACGAAGATGTTGAATTAGCCCATGACATCATTGGCTGTTGGACTGAACTGTGTTGATAGATACGGACCACATTGGTGGATTCCACTTGAAAATCGCAATGAGTGATTGTAGATGTTGAGTAACAATGTTCAGAATCAGTTGTAGTGTCAGATGTGTTCATTCTTTATCTTCCTTTAGGTCTTGAATTCCGATGTTCCTTCATTTCGAACCATCATCTCAATCCTCTGACTCTCTTGCTGTCATTGATACTGCTATTATTTCAACTTTTCTCCTCGTCTTGATAATTTTACCTCGCTGCCCAGCTGTGGTTTGACAACTGTTGGTGATTCTCATATGTGTCATTCTACGATGGACATAACTAATTTTAAATATCTACTGTCTTAATTTATAGTATGGGAATTTTTCTGTACAACAGATTGATTGAACTTAACTTTAGCATGAAACATAAACGTCATCTAAACTCCACTTTGGGATCCCATAATGCTTGTGACATTAAAGACTCTTTGATAAACACAATGTCGAAGATCAATTATCTTGGTGTCACCTTTTCCTCTGATCTCTCTTGGTCTTCTCACGTTTTATTGTTATCGAAGAAAGTTTTCCGTCTGACTTACTACATAAAGAGACTGCATGCTCTTGGGGTTACTCGTGATTTAATCTTACAATTCGTCAATTCTTTCATATTACCTATTATTCCTTACTGTTCTCCATCATTCTTTCCCGGACTTTTGAGAAAAGACTTTGCTGTATTGCGGAGAGTGCTGAAGGTAGTTAACAAGGTGTGTGGTGAATCTTTCGAGTTCATACTTAATATGGTTGTGGATAGACATCTCAAATCAGGCAAACTCCTGACAGGTTATCTTATCAGATACTAACCATCCCCTTCACTCATATCTTTCTCCTTGTATATCTTCTGGTAGAACAAGACGTAATTACATTAAAATCCATGCACGCAAGCAAAAGTATAAAAGTTCTATGATACCTTACCCAGCAAATATACTCTGTGACGAACAGATTGTTAAAGTTAACCTAGTCAATAACCTGCATTCTTAAAATGTCTCGAATTTTGAAAGTTGTACAGTTTTTCAGATTTTTTTCTAACCTTTTTTCCTTCCTTTTTTGTCTTTGTCTTTGTTTTTTTCAAAAGAAACTTGTTGAAATACGTTGTGCTGAGAATTCTATATTGTACCAAAATATAATATTGAATAAAGCCATTAATAATAATAATAATTAGCGGTGGATTTTTTGTTGATTATCTCCAACTATGTGTGGTGGCGGTACGAGTTGTTAATAAGTATGACATAATGTATAAGGCTTATATCCTTCACACTTATCAGTCATGTCTCAACCCCCACTCCAAAGACCGAAATAACTCAGAATACGACCATCCTCTTAGTCAATCAGCTCTCTCATCGGTGAGATATGTCGGGATTTTGAAAATCAAACTCTCGTCTCAAATTTTCTTCCTATGTGGAAATTGATCTTGGAGTGACAACTGTTGCGGCAAGTAAAATGCCATTTGATTCTTATTTAAATATTCTTACATTGAAGTCAGAAATTATTATTCTTCCCTCATGCTCATTTTTGTGTTTCTTTCTTAGTTTGTGTCCCAGTGCAGTAGTTTGTTGATTCATTGTTTAATATCGTCCTGTTTAATGTTATGGATTATGAAAACGTGCTACTTGTGAAAAATGAAGTGTTCGTCTATCAGATTCTTTCGAGACAGTCTAATCGGGGTTACAGGGCTAATAACTGGAACCTAGAAACTCCTATGTGGACTGGAAGACTTCGTGTTATCGCCAAAGGTAAAGATCTCGTAATACGATTGGAAGATAAGAATTCTGGACAGCTATATGCTGAATGCCCAGTGGACTCATTTCCTGGGATATCCGTTGAACCAGTTATTGACTCAAGTCGATTTTTTGTTATTCGATTAATGAATGATAATGGGGAAACTAAATTTGTAGGGATTGGTTTCGCAGAACGTGCGGATTCCTTTGACCTTAATGTAGCAATTCAAGACCATTTCAAGTGAGTTGATATTTTAGTTACCAGTTCTTTATTTTCGTTTGATTTCCTGTGTTATTCAGAAGGGTATTACGTAGAATTAATAGATATTTTCCTAGATCTCATATTGGGTCCCCTAAAATCAGATTTATTGTCGTATATTTATTTTATTGTTTTGCGAACCTTATGTTCTCTACTGAAATAACTTATACCTGGGCAGATTCATAATTCCATCTCCTGTGATTAATAATATTTTGCATAGTGCTAAAATGCATTTGAAGCATTGTTTCTAAACAAAAGTAATATTTAATGTATTTGCCATGCATTACGCAAAATTTTCTTGCAAATCTAATATTAAGTTTGGTACTAGATTATGGTCTAACCATAAAGCTTTTCGTTCTTTTCTGTGTTTAAGTCATATGGCTGACTATTCCTTAGGATTCGTGGTTTAGGATTGCGATGTAGAATTTAGGATTACGGTTTAAAATTTAAGGAATGGTACTAAGTTTTGCGCTCAATTGATATTCATCCTAAATCTCAACCATAACAGTAAATTCTATAATCTGCATCCTAACCGTAAATCTTAATCTCAAACAATAATGCCAAACCTAAATCCTAGCCTTAGCATTATCGATCACCAGTTAGATCATTTAAGTTGTCTTCTGAGCTTACTGTAATATTTCGACTTTACTTGTCCTTTTATAATAGTCGATATCAGTCGGTGATAAAACCCAAACCCTGATTCCTAACCTTAATACTCCTAATCCTAGTTCCTAATCTTAACTCCTAAATTTTCTCCAACTCCTGATTCCCAACCCTAACTTTTTTCGTTAATTAATCATGTTATTCCATCCTTTATTATTATTATTACTTTTTATTATAAATTGCCTTAAAACTTAACATTTTTCGATTGTTTGGTTGATCACTCAAGGCTCTCTGTATGGTATAGTTTTACCTTTCTATTTTCTATAAGTTCAGCCTTCGCTTACATTCTAAACTTTTAGATCATATGAATAATATAACATTAAAGTTTTATATTAAACTGTTAGGAAGGAGCAAAATATATAGTTCAATAATTTAGTCATATTTATTAGTTTAAGCATTTTCACATTTTGATTTTATAAATTATATACACTCATTAAATTCTTAATTAACTGTTAGTTCAATTCATTCAAATTTGTTTCTTGATCAGACATTTGAAATGGGTGGATGCGATGAAGGAAGCAAGACTGTTAAATAAGAATTTACTTGTTTACCAACTACGGCATCCAAAATAATGATGAAACATCATTTTAATCTTGTTCTGTTGAATAAGTAGTAGCAGAAGGAAGTTATTTCACAACCATACATACCACGAGCAGTAATCAGCGATTTTAATGAAATATAATTTAGAAACAATTCAAAATAGTTATACTGAATGGTTACTTCATTCTGTCTTGCAAAGCAGTTACGACATGTTAGTAATAGGTTGATCTTTCTACTGATTTATCTGTTAGTACTCCATTCAGTTTATAGCAATAAGTTTCCTTAAACCGTAACTAATTTTGACCAAGTCACCTAAGATGATTTAGTTCTATCTTATCGTTTTAGAATATGATTTCTTTAAAATCATATACGATATTTACTAGATACACTGCGGATTTCATTCTCTCTATCGTCTTTGTTAAAGAGTATAATATAGGTTACATCTTTAGTTCAAAACAATTTTGTTCATTGGTTTGCTATGTACTTGGCTGTAACTGATATTACCTCTTAATGATTTATTAACACAGTCAGGTGACCGCTTCAGTTAATAATATTACTTCTCTCAACTTGAATTGCTTTTCTCTGTGTATGAATTTTTTTCAGTAATGAGTTGATGCCATATTTATCATTCTTTTTATTATCAAATATATTGTTAGCCGGACTTTTGTAAATTTTTAGTTTCTAATCATAATAAGTGACATTTTTTGCCGCGTCATTTGATACAAAGGCCCCATCGATATAATGTCTCTTTCTTGATGAAATCTAACCCAAATTAGTTCATTGTTTGTTAGTTTTGTCAAAAGATTTAGACTTAATGGGCCAGATCAGCGTGAGAGTGGAAACCAGCAATGATTAGTAAATTAAAGTCGAGTTCACTGGTGGAGAAAATAGCTACTTTCACTACCTTATTGCTACAACTCTAGCCACTAAATGCCACGGTTGTCCTTCTTTGTCTCATGTCACTCTGAATTTACCCTATCATATTAATTGTAGTGGCTTAAAACGATGTCTTGTTATACGAAACCATATTTACACTTTTTCTTCCTTTGACTGACAGGGTTACTTATTGATTAAAAATTGTTTTCTAGGTTACTACATTTTAGTATGTTTTCTGTAGAGATAATACAATTTGAGTTCAAATGTAAATAGTTGTATCGATCAATGCCTCTTCATATTCTTCGCTGTAAATATTCCTCACACAAAACACCTAGCTCGTAGCTTGCACGTGCTTACTGAATTGCATTTAGTCTTGTTTTAGGATAAATAATATAAAGCTTATCAAATTCCTACTTATTTTTCTTCAATATGAATTTCATTATGTTAAAGGATTCAACTGTAATTAAACTATGTTTTTCGTTTTGCGTAGATGGTTAAAACAGGAAAAAGAAGCTAAAGAAATGGAAGAAAACGCGGGCAACCAACCAGCTAAGGATATGAGTTTCAAAGAAGGGGAAAAAATAAAATTAAATCTGAATACCCGTCGTACAGGGGATGATCCAAATCCCAAATCAAAAGTTACACGCCCCCTTACTTCTGGATTATCGGGTGGTCTACTGCCCCCTCCTCCGCCGCCGGCAGTTTCTCGGTCTCGTGGTAGTCGCGTTGTAGGAGATACCGCCCCAGTATCGGGTAACTTATTTAACAGTAACCCGTCACAACCAAACTATACAAATCCTGTGTGCACACCGAACGTAAGTATAATTTGAAAAAATCTTAATCCCCTTTTGATTTTTTTATGTAACAATGTTTGTTGCTTATTGTTCTTTCTAATATATTCACAATAAATCAAGTACAATATAGGAGTCTTTGCACCGCAAAAGGTTCCCATATAGTTTACAGTATACTGCACCCCAAAGTAGTCGAGTGACTATCCTACTAACGTATGATTGTTTTCCAATTTTTCACTTGTTGGGCATAAACTACCCTTCATTTCATCTCAAGATATCCAAATCAATCTTTACCACTTTAGTAATGAGAAAGATGAGTTAGGTTTCGACCGTTAATTCGGTGGTATTTTTGGTGTGTGTACCATGTAAGGAGATTGGTTTTAGAGTGGTAATTTTACCTACTTTAACATAAATAGATAAAGATACTTGACAAATTTTTAAAACATTTCTGTAGAATATAGATTTTAATAGTAACGTGTAATATCTATGGATCATTGGTAGTAGTCTTGAAATGTGATCATCATACGTTTCTTCACAAGCACTCCAAGTCCATTCATTTCAACGGTAAAGTGTTACTCCTAATCTGTCTTTGATTAGATGACATAATCTCGACAAACAAGATTTATGTAATGAAAGACAGCAAAATGATTTGGTCACCTAGTTATTCATCTTGTTGTAGTGCTGAGGATAATTTAAGTATCATTATTGTGAACATCTGTTTATTAAATTATTGTCATAGATAACTGATCTTATATTTGTAAAAGTTTTTAAATATAAACAAATTCCCACACATCTTGGGAGTATTTGTAGGCTTTGGAAAATACATGTACCTATGTAAATGCGTTGTTTTCATATCACAATTAATTCCTTTTAGTAAGTCATAGCCGTATTCATAGTGAAACCAAAAACAATTACTTCTGTCGCAGTAAGCGGCGATGAACATCCTTATTCCAGTTCATTAGCTGTCTCAAATTTAGTTTTATGCAAATATGGATAATTATCCACCAGAATCCATTGAACCAGATAGGATTTTATAAGTGATAACACCTCGCTAGTCATGCTATGTCCGTTCGATCCTTTAAAATTTTTGTACAGTAGTCAGTCTGTTATAACTGAATTGCAGATTAGAGCGCAGCGAATTATCGATCGGACCAAAGACGCGTAAACACGTAAGAACGACTTAGAGTTTTGATTGGTCCCGCTTCCCTATCTACCCCAGCCAGTTGATTCCAGAACGCAAGTCTCAACCTCTGATATATGAATCATCATATTTCAAACATACTCTGTTTATATACCAATCAAGCAGACCACATCGTACCATAAAATAGAAAACAACATCGTACAATATTGACCAATAAGAAAATGACACCATCTCAAGTCCAAGGATAGCGTTAGACTTAACAGAATGATTTTTGGGATATTTTGCTGAATATTCCAACACAGTCATATTCCCACACCTAAAAAACAGCAATCGACAGCATCTTAGATTTTTGCTGTTCATTATTTTCAAACTATTCGGTTTGTTTATAAGCATACAATAGTACGCCATCTCAACTTATTTAGAATGACTTCATTCACCTATATTATTTTGATTTAAATCTTAGATATTTCACATAAAATTTTGTCTTGTAGAACCATGAATTAGGTGTCGTGGTTTAACTCGAACTGTGCAATATTTAGAAATAATCTGAATTAAATTATTTTCACCATAGACTAATACTGTGTGTGATATTTCCAGGTTCCATCGACCACTTCAAACGTCGACCTTCTAAGTGATTTCCTCGGGAATTCTGGGCAGTCCTGAATGCCATCAAATCACTACGTGGAGATATTCTATTTTACGCTTCTTACTCATTCCTCTTTAATGCTCGAAATAAGAAGACTGTGTTTATAGCATTCTAACAATATTTAAGTAAAAGTCTTTCACTTAAAACCTGATTTATTGCTACAGTATTAATGTGAGGAAATATTATGGTTTGCATTTGTTAAAAACGTGCTCTTGCAATATATATATATATATATAGTTTCTCACTTTTGTGAATTTTATTCATGTAGTCTGATTTTATTACAAATATCACTGTAATGAATTCCAAACAGGATGAACCGCTAGTGGTTCCCTGTACATGATTCATACCTTTCTCGACAAAAGCCACTATTATTTCCAAATCTTATCATATTGATATATCTTCTAATAGAATAAATTGTGTTGACTTCAGTTTATCCCAATATTATTGAGAAAATTCCTCGCCATACGTCACCGTCTAAGAGTACCGGTGATATGTGACATTTCCCAGGTGTCAGACGTGCGTTAGTAGTGTTAGTATCACACACTGATCTTAAAACTTGTCTGTTTCGACATCAGTTCCGATATGTTGAAATATCAAGATTCATAATATTGAGTATTACACATAGCCAAATCAGATTAAAATAAGATGAGTGGTTTCGACTCATTCTCACGTGTAGTGCATCGCACTAAAACCCCATTTACTAATATATTTAGTTTTACAGACAACCCGTATCTACTTTACGCAGTAGACCTTGAATGTACTTAATAACCCTGGTGAATTTGTCACTGGTCCCACCATATTACAAAGAATGCGGATATCACCCAGATAGTAATTTAACTGTAGTTTCCATATACTTATACGATTGGGTAGAACTGTGAATGTCGTGTCTACAAACTCGTTTTGTTGATAGTTATTATGTATATTCTCACAAGTAACCAAGTAAAGGGGATTTGTTATCATGTCAGAGCAAACACATGTACGATTTAATTTCATTCCACTGTACGGAAATGCATGGTGGCCTTGTAATTACAACCGCAATGATCAAGAGCCGCTAAATGCCTTGATACGGCTGAGAGTGGGTAGTCAGCTCTCCCTCACGAAATGCTCTCACATGGCTACACATATACAGCCACTCCCAAGTCGTACTCACAGCCTTACGGCAGGGGTGCTGCTGGTAGGACTAGGAGGACGAAAAGCGGATGCCCGGAGCCCAAACCGGGTTGGTGGGTACGGATGACCCACCTAAGAGGTGAAAAACTTGGTCCCCAAACCGATGATGTACATGGGCTCCAGTATCCTGAGTGAACGAATGGCGTATGAACCAAATATTGGGCACCAGATACCATTAGACTGCATCTCCTGTCGCTGCTTCACTGCTTTTTGAATCAGACCTTTAGGTGGAAGGCTCCGGATGTGCCCCCCTAAGAAAACCACCTGTTTCGGTTTGGGCACTCAAACAATATTCCAGCTCACACACAAATCGAATGCCCTATGTGACGCTTATATATCTGGTGCCTTCTTGTACCGATGTGTCTAAATAAATAAAAAAAAGTTTGAATCAGGTAGCCAAACATACATCACTTGGCCCGCAACGTCTAAAAAATCGGTTGAAAGTATTCAGCTGCATGGGTCAAACCTGAAGATGTCATTTATTACAACCCAATGGTACCTTATTCACCTTTTAATATATGTAGCAATAATACAACATAATAGTGTAGGTTGATAGCAAACTACTCAACTGACTTCTATTCAAGTCTCAACAACTAATTTACTGCCGGAAAGCTTTTCCTAGAAATTTGCAATTATCTATAGGTCACAATATTCTTAAACAAGAAACACGTTCCAACTACGCATTGTGCAAGCTGTGAGAAGGAAGTTAACTTAGAACTTTCCATATACAACAGATTTATTAGACCTAGCTCATACTGAAGAGTTGGTAATCACGAACGACAACAGTTACTTATTACTCTGAACCGCGTTCTCAATAAAATGCGCACTTTAAGCGTGTAATGGCTAATCAGTCTCTTAGGACTGAACGCGGAGTTAAGGGTTTTCTTTTCAATGGCGCTTTAAGCAAACGCTACTTGAATCATGAGACTTGCCGCAACACCTGTAGTACTTCAACACTTACGGTATATGCACGTGGTTCTCTCTGCATGAACAGTATTTGTAGTTGCTGAGTGTTTTCTGACTGCGTAATAAAACAGGCATCTAACAACTGAAGCATGTTTGTAAAGTTGCGTGATACGACCTACTGATTGCAAGCATCAGGCCATGTCATTGCATGATAAGGTGAGGGATCTTACAACCGCATTTGAGTAAAGAATTATTGTTTTTAAGGCTGAGATTGTTAACAGACATGAGTTGCACAGTTTTGCAGAAAAAGACTAATTGAAAATTGATAAATGGTTTAAGGATAACACAAACAGACACATAAACAAATATATTTAATTAATTCACAAACGCAAGAATTTAACATTTGAGAGAACTCATTCCGGCTCGCATTATCTCGTCAACAAGCAATATGTTGGAGGCAATAACAGAACTGAAAAAAAAGATATAAACACTGTATTGCAAGCTGGTGTACCACTTTTCAAAGTATTATGGTAAAGCTTTTCGCCGTTCGTTTAATTTGCATGCATAGATTTAAGATTAATAAAACAAAAATTACTATACTGCAAGTCTTTTAAGGATGAGATAGCAATAAACAACTTGAATATTTGTGGAGGATCAGACTATGACTGAAGCTTAAAAGATACTTTTCACTAAGAAGACATCGTCTAGTTTGTAGGTCAACATTTGTTTGACAAAAATTATAACTTGATAAATTAAAAAATCGATCGGTCCCATAATTATATTTGTTTGGGTGACCGGTTTAGGTGAATATAGTAAAAGGCGTAGTTACAAATAAATTATTAGCAGCGATCAACACTTATCACATATTTTATGAAGATTCAGTCAGTTGTAAGGGACGTAGACATGAATCAACCGAAGTTCCAGCACCATTTGGAAAGATAGATAAAATTACCGGAGTCGTACAAACAGTAATAAAAAGATGAGGCTTAGAAACGACTACAGAAGAATGGATTCAAGTAATAAAACAATTGATAAGCTCAGGAGAAAGTGGACGTATCTGCGACACTACGACTGATTCTGACCATTGTTACTCAATATCTACAATCACTCATTGCGATTTTCAAGTGGAATCTACCAATGTGGTCCGTATCTATCAACACAGTTCAGTCCAACAGCCAATGATGTCATGGGCTAATTCCACATCTTCGTTTGGCCATCTCTAACTGCATTTCAAACTACTTCTAAACCATCTAACAAAGTGCGCCGGAGTAGATGACGGTTGGGTATATATGATACACATTTCAATCACCTCATTCCATAAATATTCACTACTTCATCATCCTGTGTTGTCATCTCCCTTTAGTATTTTAGTAAGAAAATCTCCAAAGACGTCATTCTCTAGAGACAGACGAAGATAGTGTCAACAATACTTGACGAATTAAAAACAGCTTTTTCCGAATACAAAATTAGCATCACAGTACTAACGATAGGATAAGTAGTTAAATTATAGTTTCAGGCGGATAGTGGCTATTATTTGATGGCTAGAGTTGGGTTGAAATCGGGATCATTTTTATGCAAGGAGTTAGTGAGTCAAAATAAACGTAGTACCTATCACATCAGCTCCAGTTGCCATACACCATTGGTATAAAGAGATGAAATTTTTAGGGAAAATCCCTTAGTAAATATGAGTCAGTGAAATAATAAGATTATGAGGAATTCAAAATCTCATATTTTGACGAAAGACAAAGAATGGATGCACATGCACCATTAAAATCGATTTCGAGTCATGTCATTGAGAGCCTCTAGCGATTGGTTACGATAATCACGTGGACTACAACCAGGTAGTCTACATCTGCTGCTAAGATGGCTCAGTATAATTATCAACGACTTCATGGATTAGTGCCACGTCTTGGTTTGATCGCCCCTATTTTTCTCCTAATATAATCCTACACCAGACAACACTGCTCGTCGAGGTGGGCGGTGGTTGGGCATACGTGAAACATGCCCCAACCACCTCAATTAATGAAGACTTACTACTTCATTAATCGACTTGCCACTTTTACCTAGTACTACATCCCTAACCCAACCTACAGACAAATTTGGAGCAATAGCTGTCGAAAGTATTTTCGAGCATTTTTAATTAAGAACAAAATGAACGTGCTATACAATTATTCTTTATATTTCAAACTTTCAGAAAATAATTCAACTTCTATTGTTTTCTAGCGAGATCAGTTAATTTTAACCGGTTTTGAAATATCCATCTATAACTGAACTTTGAATTTACTAGCTATCAATGATCAGTTATTTCGCAAACAAACGAACAACTCAAAATACTATAGAGTATACTGTTTTAGTTGAATCTCACTGAGCATTTAAATAATTTGTTGTGTCCAGATAAGAATAATGAATGGTAATTTTTGGGATCCAATTATGGACCAATATTATGAGTATATTTTAATCGCATAATCGTTATGCAACTAAACTGTTCATATTCATACCCCTCTTATTATGAGCTTTATGTTGACCTATGAACTACTATTGTACGATTTACCATTCATGAATTATTCCCTATCTGTTAATCGCTACCTCCCTCATTCACAGCCACTTCTGGCTAATTATTGTACAAATGTTATTTCCTATTTTATTGGTACGTTGTGGTCGGGTTGATTGGTATATAAACAGAGTATGCTTGAAATACAATGATTCATATCTCAGAGGCTGAGACTTGCGTTCCGGACTCAACTGGCTGGGCTAGACAGGGAAGCTAGCTAGCTAGCAGGGCCAATCAGAACTCTAAGTCGTTCTTACGTGTTTTACGCGTCTCTGGTCCGATCGATAATACACTGCTCTCTAATCTTTCGGTCAAGGACACAACAATTGGCACGGGGTAAAAATCGATCCAAGTTCAAGTCACAACATAATTAAAAAATAAAATTACCGATCAGTAAAAAAAATAGCTAAACAGATGTTTATCCACAAAACACGAAATACGACTCAACAAGCTTACCAAGAATTAATTATTTGCTTTTTCACAATAAAGTTGTCATAAACCCCAACTTGAGCAGGGATCATCGCTTCCCCTGTAGTAAGATCAATTCCTACAAGCTGTGTGGGGATAATATTGTTGCAGCGATTATCCACCTTAGTCGCTTCTTCAAGCAATTTCACCATTGTTTCCTGAGCATCATGACCGGCATTCTTAGCTAGGACTTTTGGAATAACAAGCAACGCATCTGCAAATGCTTGAACACCGAGACGAGCACGACCCTTAACAGACTGTGCAAATTTGCATAGCTCGCGATAAGCAACTAATTCAAAAGCTCCTGCTCCTGGAATAACACACTCTAAAATTTAGAAAAATGCGACTTAATAAAGAAGCAAATCCTAAAAATATTTGATTTATGCAAGTCACCAAGTGGTAGCCGACAAAAAGATTTTTCCTTACATATCTAAAGGGCCGTCAATTATTACCAAAGGCCTACAGCGTGTCTATCTGCTGAGGCTGCTACACTTTATATCGACAGGGTTAAAGAGGAGATCAATAAGACGGGAAGAGGTGGAGTTGATTTCGACTACAATGGAAATTAAAACAAAGGAGTTTCTCGCGTTACGCGGAACCGAGTAAAGCAGGTATAGGCAAAGGTGAAAACTAGGTGGATATGGTTGAGATATGCCAAACATACTCAATCACGGCCAATATCAATGTGCAATGCTGGCTGGAATAAATATAGATTGCAAGTTAGGAGTGGGGTAACTGATACGTAATATCAATCAATAAAATCGATTTTATTTTAGCAATGTTGGTAGGTGCACACTGTGTTTGGATACTTGAAAGACTGTTCACAATCAGCTGAAGTGGTGTAGATGCATTCATTTTTTTAAACTAACATTGAATTGCAATGTTAGTTCATACTTTTCATTTCGTCAATTTATTTGATCTTTTATAACTACAATCTCTAAACATAGTGCTTCTTATTATCACTAAAATGACAAAAACTCTTACTATCTCGGTATTCATTTTGTTGATTTCATCTTGCTATGTTGATATGGTGCGGTAGATTGGATTGATGGACAATTGTGCTAAGTTTTGTTTTGCTTACAACTGGTTAACATTTTAAAAGGAACAAACGAAATCGACTAATTTGAAGTTAAGATTTGAAGGGTGAATGTCGTATGGTAAACTGGATCGACGTAAATTTCGCAAGGCTCTACGTTGAGTATAACTGCCTGAAACAGCCTATTAATATAGACGAAATACGTAAGTCGCCACCATTTGCTCACACGCATCTTTAAAGTTATACTTGAATTTATTGGCACAATAGTGTAGGTAATGTTTACGCTTTGTTGTTTAACAGAAATATATCAATACAGAGATTATTGTTGTGGAGTATATAAACAATTTGATTGGTAGACAGATACCTCGTCTTTCGAAAGACACATAATAACCTAAAGAAATGTGAATGTTACTTACATATCCACCTTTACATTTGAAACATGCATGATATGTCAACATAAGTTTCTCAGGTTTCATGTTTACGGGCTTCAGCCTAGTATCATATGCTTACGGATACTAATATTTTAGGCTACATTAGTTAATCACCAGGAAAAATTATATTTGTAAAATCTCAGAGATTGGACTTGATTCATTTCTTTGAACACAGATATTGGTACAAGAGGGCACCAGATACATATGCGCCACACAAGTCTCATTTGATTTGTCTGAGGGCTGTGGTACTGCCCGGGTGCCCAAACCGCAGCATGTGGTTATCATAGGGGGCCACACCCGGAGCCTTTGATCTAAGGGTCTGATCCACAAGGCAGTGGAGCAACGTAAGGAGATGCAGTCCCATGGTAGGCGGTGACCAACGATTGGTTCATATGCCATTTGTTCCATCAGGGTACTGGAGCCCATGTGCACCATTGGTTTGGAATCAGAGTTCTCCAATTCCCCTAGGTGTACTCTTCGTGTCCACCAACCCGGTTAAAGCACCGGGCATTCGCTTTTCGTTCTCTCAATTTCGTAAACAACACCCCCGCCACGAGAAGGCAGTGAGGACTTTCCTGGTAGATGCTATATACTTTAAGTAAATCCACCGTTTCGCTCGCCTGTCTGGTCCAAGCTAATCCCAAGAAATATAATCAAACACTAAAATTATTGAATACTAATAGGTACATGGTTCTTCAGTTGACTTAAAACTAAACAGGTTATCTAAATATGTTAGCAATGTTGAAAGTAAGAATTTGCCGTAGTGCGTATGAAACACCTGGTGTGTTAAGATAGCAGTGGTATGTATGTGAGTGGATCTAATGTGAGAGAACAGACAAGAACTGTTGACTTCTGAAATTATTACGTTGATCGACCTGCTTTGAGCGAAATTTCAGATAAACAGACATGTCGTGAGGATTAAAATCTCGGCTGTACTATTAAACCAAAAGCCTAACGTTTCTAATCTATCTAAGGAGGAAATAAACGTTCTAAAACAGCTGCGTAAAGACAGAAAAGATGTTATTACGAGACCACACAAAGGTGACACCACTGTTGATATAAACAACTCGGATTATGAAAAATACTTCTTTACACACCAGATGTCTCATACGTACTATGGCGAATTGTTAATTTTAACGTTGCTAACATGTTTAGATAACCTGTTTAGTATAAAGTTAACTGAAGAACTATGTGCTTATTAATATTCGATAATGTTGATGTTTGATTATATTTCCTTGTATGGGCTTGGGTCAGATAGGTGAGCGAAACGTTGAAAGTCCAATGATTTTCCCTTCTTAACATATCAGTCTGAATTTGGAAATTTTAGTTCCTTTCTACATTTAATTTCTCTGACTGTTACCATGCGACTTGCTATGACAATTTTATCTCATAGTGCTACTATGGTACGGGGACGAACTGACGCATATATGCAGGGTCCTACAATGCATCTAACACTAGTTTCGTAATCTGACTGCTAAAACTAAATTGTCTTAGGAATAAACACTCACGAGCAGCTACTCTTTTCAAAAATTTAGTCTCTCTAACTTAGCTGAGTCAAAGGCCTGATGGCCGTTTTTACCTAAGCAGTTGGCAAATGATAGTGTTCCGTATGTTTTAGGTGGGTGGTCTTTAGTTATTATTTATTTATTTGATCACATAAATACTGGTGCAAGGAGGCATCAGATACATATGCGCCACACAAATCTCACTTGATATGTGTGAGGGCTGTGATACTTGCCGGGAGCCCAAACCGAAGTCTAGGAGTAGATAAAAGTCCTATTTTATTATAAAGATAGTTACGCTCACAGTTAGCGTCTCAACTAACTTCACTATAGCCAACTATTTTTCTCAATTCATTATACTGAATACACGGAAGACTATTGAAAAGACAGCGAATAAACTGACAAACGTTACACTTGCCTGATAGTCAACACACACAAATCAGGACAGTCACACTTTAGAGAACATAAATCAATAAAATAAATATACTGCAATGGAAGTCACCAATAGAGAGACATATTAGTAAGATTTTGTGTGGCGCTGAATCAGATTTCATGAGGCACGATTCACCACTTGACGTGAAAATTTCAAAATGCCGAGTATTGTATGTATTCATAAGTAAACGAAAACTAATGTAAATACTTGCTTACCATCTTCTAATGTGTTCTTTATAGCACGTAGCCCGTCATTAACCGCATCTTTGATTTGGTTGAGTGTATGTTTATTAGGACCACGCATCAACAAAGTTACTGATTGCGGACTTTTGCATTCTTCAATAAATGTATATTTCTCTTCGCCCTAAAAACAACGTCGACATTCAAAACAACGTACCAAAACAAATTCATAAACAAGGCCAGCATGTCCAAGACAATCAGGTGTCATTTCGTCGACTGAGTTCAGCGCATATCCACCACATGCAAGAGTTACTCTTTCCATATTACGTTTCTTAGCACGACGTAGAGCAAGTATTCCCTCTCGAGCGAAGGCGTCTAACGAAAATGGATCAATCCCTTTTTGATTGATTATTACGAATCCAGGTTTGTCACCACTACTATCCTCACCACATACTTTTCTTTTCAGAGCGATCACTTTCTGAACTCTTGAGTCAATAAATTCTCGTTCGGATTTTACAAGAGCTGCTCTTTCTTCTGCTGTCTTATAAAAGAATCCGGAATTCACCTCACTAATTGTTGATATATATAAAGTTAACTTACGTTTTTTCGTATTCGAAGGAGACGTTACAAGTCAAAATAAATGCATTAGTTACACGCTTAGGCATGTCTGGGTGTCTACCTCCATGATCTAATACCAGCCCTTTAACAAGTGTTGTATCCATATCGGTTCTGTGTTGCATTTGCATCAGTTCAACCCGATGCAAGTCTAAAGGTTCGTTTGGTCGCCGAATTGATAATACTGCATCTACAACATGCTACGGGTGTCAAGTAAACCAAAAATTACCTCAGTTAGGAGGTTAGCCAAATCAGAATGGACTTTTGTATTGAGGGATGTCGATGCAACTGATATGAGTGTGCTCCTATCTGGCATTTCTGACGGGCAATCGATTCGACACTTGGATAGTATATCCAAACATTTGTTTGCGGCGATATCGAAACCTTCTGTGATCAAACGGGGGTGAAGTCCTTCAGAAGTATGAACATCTGCCTGCTTCAGTAATTCAGCAATCAGAAGGACATTTGAAGTTGTCCCATCACCTGTCATATCATCTTGAGCGGTCGCTACACGCGCGATCAAACTTGCAGTAGGATGTTGTATTTGCATTTCATGAAGAAGAACATTACCGTCTTTGGTAATCTTGATATCACCTGCACCTGAAACAAGCCTAAAAAAGGACATTAGACAGCATTATTAGCGTACATTTTCATGGTCCCTTTAGGGCCAAGATTGGTTTTCAAAACGTCGTAGAGTCCTCTTGCAGCGGCCAAATTGATACTGAATGCATGCTGAGCCTTTGCGAACTCTGCTTTCGGATTTAAAAGAGATATAGATGCCATAAATAATAAACCACGCGATGATTTGAAATCACCACAAACTACAACCAAGGTCAAAGAAATCTCTGGAATAATTCGGGTACAAATTTCAATCTTGTGGACGACGTAATCAAAGCATGGAGAATTTGAAATTGGTATCCATTCTGCAACTCAGTTTTCACAAGTACTTTGAAAGCTAACAATATGACTGTTACCAAATAATGCTCAAGTCTTTTAACTCCTTACTTTAAACCACTCACAGCAATCTTGGGAGACGTTCTTGGTCACATAGAGGTTGAATTCTTTCTGTTTTCTTTTTTAATTTCAAAGGTGAATATACTATTTAGTTATCAGTTATTTGAGTTAGGAGGAGTATCCAGAGTAGTTTTCCTAAGTTCCTATGTAACTAACCATTTGGTCCCACAAAATGTGCTATATTATCTCTTTCTGTAAAGAATTACGCGATTTACTAATTTTGTTTATTTGAAATTTATCCTTGGCTTTCATGTATGCCCTTATTTATCTTATCTTAAATGGATTTCCTCATGAATGTGGTCGAGCACTGAATCAAAAATGCGATCTACTGGAGTGGATATAACATAATCATCCCCCTTCTCCTTCAGTACTATCCAGACTATCGACCTAATGCCACCAGGACAGCTTGATGGAGCTCATTTATAGTTTAAAATCCGTTTTGAACTTATTCCAAGAATGTGATATCCTTAAAGACTGAAGAGGGCTTGATAATTGTGCTTTCGGATGAGGTGTCGAGCGAATGCTAAGAACAAATTGAAATAATCCCGAAGATGGGCCAGACAATTTTCTGAATAATTCGATAAACCTAGGGATGTTGCTCAGCTGTAGTCGATCATCAGGTTATATAAAATTATTGCGAGTTAGTAGAATTATGATCCATGTTCGTATCAGTACATTTATCTTTGATACTGTAATAATGGACTTAATTCCCAACCCATAGATTTTCCATGATGTGACTACATGATCTGTAAGATCTCACGTGAAAGTCACATCACTGTCTATTCCGACTCGTCGTATCATGATAATCAGCCATATGATGTTAAGCACTTCTAAAGAACACATTTGGGCTAGGCATAGAATAATATATTGGATCCGGTGTGTAACGTGGACACGATGCCACTTTGGAAAATATTTTGAAGACTACTCGATGTAACACTTAAGCATAAACCTAATCATTAACGCTCGGCGACATCTGCACAAATGAACTGACATTCACTTTTACAGATATATTTATCTAACAACCCTACTTGGGATACATGTGAGCCAATAAATTTTGTAATTTGTAGATCGTGCCTGTAAAAAATGGTGTGTCTGCCCTTGCAGAAATATTTTATTATTATTTAATATGAAAAGGAATAAGTTGTACATACGTTACATGCTTGGATGGCTGAGCCATGCCAGCTCGTTACACGTTGAATGTAAGTCTTCTCCGTAATTGTATTTTAGCTTCAAAGATCGTATGGCTAGGCACCAAGAACACTACGATTTCCTTCTAGTTCATCTTCAGTTAAAAAATTTTAGAACCTAATTTTTCACGATTCAAATGTTTTATTTGCAATCTTACTCGCAGACTTCAGAACCCGAATTTCGTTTTCTCCTATTCTGTTCGATCAGTTATTTATCATCACCATCTGTAGACCAAATATCTGATCACTATCTTAGACTTCGTATCATTTGTTAACGGAGTAGCAGAGTGGATTAAACTACAATACAAGCGACGCCTCAAAGCTGGAGTTCTTCGCAGTACTAGAGTCATCACTCAAAACTTCCGGAATCAGTGAAGAAACACAACAGGAAATAAGGCAAACTATAGTGACGATAACTCAACAGGTGAAAGGAAACAAGCAACTGACTCCACAAGAACAAAAGGCCTTGAAAGAACTCAGAAATAGAAAGGATATTATCATAATACCAGCGGACAAGGGACGCACCACAGTAATCATGGACAAAGAAGAATACATCAACGAAGCCGAAGAACTACTCGAAGATAAGAGCACATACAAACTGATGGACACAAATCCCGTCAAAAAATTAAACAACCAAATCTCAAAGACTTTAAACAAGCTAGTCAAAGCAGGAGAAATAACAAAACAAGACCAATGGAGAATGAAATCCAGTGGACCAGTACTCCCTCGATTCTACGGTAGACCCAAAATACACAAACCAAACATTCCACTACGTCCAATAGTAGCACTCCCCAGAACGCCAACATAAAATTTGTCAAAAGAAATTTCACGAATGCTGAGACATCTAATAGATTCAGCCAAACACTCCATCAAATCCCCAACACAATTCCTGGACCAAATTAAGGATATTCAAATCAACAACGACGAACTCATGATATCCTTTAACGTAACAGCACTGTTCACCTGAATTGAACCACAGCTAGCAAAAGGAACTATATCTCTGCTACTCAACAACGACACAAATCTCACCAAATACACGACGCTTCAAATTCAAAGTCTACTGGAACTCATCGATTTATGCCTAACAACATATTTTCAATTCAACAACAAAATCTACGAACAAACTAAAGGGACACCAATGGAATCACCAATATCAGGACTGATCGCAGAGGCAGTGATGCAAAGACTAGAAGACACGATACTACCAGTGATCAAGCCAAAAAATTGGATTCGCTACGTAGACGACACCTTTGTCATCGTCAAAAAGGATGAACTGGAAAACACATACAAACTGATCAACAACGTTTTCAACGACATCAAGTTTACAATGGAGCAGAAGTCAAACAACCAACTAGCATTCTTGGATATATTGATCACTAGAACTGATACAGGAAAACTGGAAACTCAAGTATATAGGAAACCGACCCATACAGATCAAATCCTCAATTACAACAGCAACAACCCAAGAGCTCACAAAATTAACTGCGTACACACATTGTTCAAGAGGGCGAGGACACAATGCAGCACACTGGCAGCACGAGAAAATGAAGAGAAACACCTGAAGGACATATTTCAAAAGAACGGCTACCCAATCAACTTCATCAAAAAGCACCAATGGCACACAGCATCAAAACCCAAATCAAGCAGAGAAATCAACAAAAGGATCACCCTACCGTACATACAAGGAATATCAGAAACCGCAACGAGACTGCTGAAAACCTTCGGGATAGGTGTGGCACACAAACCAACAAAATCACTACAATCAATCCTATGCAAACCAAAAGATGAAATAACAAAGGAAAACAAAACAAACATCATCTACAAAATAAATTGTACCAACTGCGACAAACACTACATCGGACAAAGCGGACGTCCCCTCCACCTACGCCTACATGAACATCAATTAGCACTCAAACGCCATGATATCTCTTCACTTATATCAATACACGTGGATAACTACGGACACTCATTCGATTAAGAAAATGTGGAAGTCTTGCACAGAGGAAACTCCAAAAACACCAGATAATTTTTAGAAGCTTGGCACTCAGGTCAATCGGTAATCAACAAACATATTGAAATCAATCCAATTTATCAACCAATCAGGAAAATCATGCATAAATATAGGAACAAAAATCAAACCAATGGGATACACAACCAAAACAAAGAAGTAAACAATGATAAATTTAAGGTCAACAAAAACCAATCAACATCGAGGTGCACAGAACAAGCTGTGAAACATATGGAGAAATTCGAACACTTCACTTCTATCTGAAGTTTGTGCTGATGATGTCGTCCAGAAGAACGATGTAAGCTCCACGACCAAACCATCCAGCTCAGAGAACAAAACTCCACCAAAATCATCCACCTGAGCTACAAATCTTCTCCATCATGTCAGAGTGATATACTAAATGAATATTTAGCCCAAAATGTAGAAGCTTTAGCCATCTGACTTGATTGTGGCGTTAAACTGGTAGAAACAGTGCATTCCAACGATGTAAGCAACATGCAGCTTAGATTTCAGCATTGTTCAAATATACCACAAGTGTGAGAGAACCTAACGTCTCAGAAGGAGGGGGGTAATTTTCATGACCAGCACGCATTATGGTGGAAACATAACTTTAATCCATAAATGTCTGTAGTGCAAAACAGCTTGTTTACTCAAAGTTCCTTGTGGTCAAATGTGATGCTATTTTCCTGTGACGAATACCTCTTCTACTCATGTCCGTAAACTGGAATTGGTTACACTTCCCGCAGAGAAATCGTACCACAAGCCAAACAGCACAAGCACGCTAAAATGGAGTCCACTTGTAACTTAATACAAGTCATTATAACAAAAAACTAATATTATTTGCCATGAAAAAGTCATTTGTGTGTCTCAATACTATGTTTTACCCGCTACATTCTTCCACAACTTCTGTGAAATCAGCACCTCTTGCAATCAATAATGCTGATGTTACAGCGCCAACAAATTTGGTTCCTCATTTCATCATTTCATCCATTTTGAAAACCACTCGTACAGGAAAACAGGCACATATTCCAGGATATTATGTTGCGTTCAGTACTTAATATTCCTACTGTTATTGTTTGTGGTACGGGTAGATACTAGCAGAGTTGCCAATAACATTTTTCGCCGACAATTTTTTCGATAAAACCCCTATTCGTGTGTACTATTCCTATCGGTAAATTCATTATATTATCCCTATATGAATGTGCATTTCCCATGATATGTATTATTAAATGTGTAACGATATTTAACTTCGCCGTACTCGTTCACTCTATTACCAACCATATGCATGACCTGGCAGAATATTAATTTAATTAGTTATATATGTTGGGGACGATATATCCCCGAAACTCATATTCTGTAATTTCACCTTATAGATTAAATTATCGATTAAATGTTAAATATTTGAATGGATGTCAATTGATGAAATTATCGGTTAAATGATTAAATAGCAGTCAATTGACGAACTTATCGATTAAATATTTGAATGCCTGTCGATTGATGAACTTATAGATTAATGTTTAAAAACAATTTACTATGACAATATCGATTGCAAATATTTGTATGAATACGCTTGACTTGTGTGTTTGATGTGACTTGTTATCTGCTGTTTGTCTGTAGAATACACTTTCTACACCTTACCCAGACTTCTTGATCGGGTTAGCAGAGCCGGGGACAGCGAAACAGAATAGCTATCAAGTCTGTGAATCATTGATCCTTCGTTTCGTTCGAGTAAGACGAATCAGTAATAGCAATTCAAGCTTAACGAATCATAATAATATATATTATATATAATAAACACAAAAT